AGGGTCTTTGCGCATGTCTATCATGCACAGTATCAGTATTTGGTTCATTTGTGCTGTGAAGGGCACTTCAATAGTTTGTTTGCCCATTTCGTCGCTTTTGGCGCTGAGAATCGGTTGTTCGATTGGAGCGAGTTTAAGTACTCAGGTGCACAGGGGGGGGGAGGCGGTCAGAGTCCGACAGGGTGGTTGGGGGGAAGTGGTTATCCAGGCGTTTGCGATCTGATCGAAAAGTGGGTCGAGATGGGAGTTTTGGGTCCGGAGTGCATCGGACAGCGATAAGGATGCGAAAAGGAGAGGGGATAGGAGAATAGGACGGGGCAAGCCAGGTTCTTTGTACATTATCACGAAGCATTGATTCGAGTGCAATCCATTATGCTTCAGTTGGTTTGCTTGGGTTCGGTGTCTTTGATGCTGAGCTTGATTATTCGTCCTCCTTGGACTGTGTTCACGCAAGCTCATCTTCCAACATTCCTCAACTCCACCAGTTTCAGAGATCATCTTGAAACATTCGCATCACTCGGTGTGGTCGGAACACAGAAATGCATTTGCAACACAAAGTATGAAGAAAGAGACGATTTACAGATCAAAGAAACAGAAACGCAAGGTACTTGACTGAACGTCGATCCATTTTTCAACCGAACCTCAGCAAAAAGAAAACCTCGGAAGGGGATTAGGGGGTTAGGGGGTTGGGGGGTTGGGGTTGCTTTACGCCTTACCCTTAGCGAAAAGTTTAGCCCTTTCAATAGCTTCTGCTGAAGCCTTGACAAGTTTCTTCTTGTAATCCTGAATGCTAACCTCCTGTTTGCTAAGGTTAACGATCTTCCTATCCTTGACCTCCCACAGATCCTCTGCAACCTGACTGATGAGCCTAAAGTCGTGCGATACGATCACCACACCTCCCTCGAACTCCTTAATCGCCATAGCCAGGGCATCGATCGAAGTCATATCCAAATGGTTAGTCGGCTCATCGAGCAACAAAACATGAGGTTGTTCCATCGCCAATTGCGAAAACACGACTCTGTTACGCAAACCATCGGAAAGCGTACGAATCGGACTCGTCTGATGAGCACCCGACAAACCGAACCTTCCCAACTGGCCACGCCAAAACTGAAGATCCTTATCCGGGAACTTTTCCTTATACTTGCTCTCCATGTACTCCAACGGCGACTTATCATAAGGCAACTGATCGGCCGAATGCTGAGAATACTTGCCCAACTTCAAACCTGCATGCCTCTGCACCGTACCCTCCACAGGGTTAAGCGCACCGGTAATTAAGTTCAACAGCGTCGATTTCCCCGTACCGTTCTGCCCCACAATTGCAACTCGGGAATCCATATCGATACCAAAGCTCAAATCCTTGTACAGATAGTCCTCCTTCTTACCACTGTACGAAAACGCCACATCGCTAAAGGCAATAATGGGAGGGGGCATTTTACGCACATCCTCAAAGTTGAATCGTAAAGACTTAGGTTGCCAAACAGGCTCGATCAAACCTGCTGCTTCCATCTTATCGATGATCTTCTGCTTCGACTTGGCCTGTTTGACCAGGTTGGCATAAGTACCGGCGGAAGCGATGAACTTTTTGATATGGGCGATTTCCTCCTGTTGCTTAGCATAGGCCTTCATCTGGTTGGTCTCGTTCTCTTCCTTAGTTCGGACGTAGGTGGAATAGTTACCACCGTAAGTCAAGAATTTCTTCTGAGGGGTAAGGTCGAGAATGTTGGTGCAGACCGAGTCCATGAAATCGGCCGAGTGCGAGGTAAAGACCAAGATGTGGTTGTAGGTCGAAAGATAAGCTTCAAGCCAAACGACAGCCTCCAAATCCAAATGGTTGGTGGGCTCATCAAGCAAAAGCAAATGAGGCTTGATGAAAAGCGCCTTGGCAAGGGTGACACGCATTCTCCAACCACCGGACATATCCTTGGTAGGCTTCTTCATCATCTCAGGCGAGAAACCAAGACCGTGGAGGATCATACCAGCCTTGGTCTCGAAAGTGCTAGGATCAAGTTCCTCGAGCTCTTCATACTTGAGCTCGAGACCCACCTCGTCGATCTCGTCAGCGATGGACATGTCCTCGATCTCCTTTTCGAGCCTAGCAACCTTCTCCTTGGCCGACTTGACAATGTAGTCGATAGCGTTGGTCTCGGAAGGTTCGGCTTCACCAGTGACCAAGTGAATGTCGATATGCTCGGGGATCTCGACATCACGTGCACCGAGAGCGGCCAAGAAGGTGGTCTTACCGGAACCGTTTTCACCGAGCAAACCGTATCGTTGACCGTAGTTGAGGTTGATGGTGGCAGTGTCGATGAGAAGACGACCGTGGAAGGACATGGTGAAGTTGTCAATGTGGATATCACGCGACTGCTTGTCCGAGGTCAAAACACCGGAAGCGTTGCGTTCGGTGGCGAGGTCGAGCTTCTTCATGTTGAGTTGCTCGACGGAAGAGTTGGCCGAAAGGTTGGTCATGGGAGTCTCCGAGGTGTCGTTGGTGGTGCCAGACTTGGAGGAAGACTTGGACGACTTTTCGCCCTTGGCAGCGGCTTTTGCGGCCTTCTCGCTGTTGCGTAGTGAAAGGAGGGTGATGAGAGAGAGTCAGTCATCGTTGCAATAGCTACTACGCGGTACTTGGAACACCTGCGAGCCTGCAGTGGTGCTCCTGCTAGCAACAAAGATGCGATACTTACGCCTGGCGTTTAGCCTTGGAAGCAGAGACAGGAGGCATCTTTGCGGATCGTTTACCGTTTACGAGTCCAAGTGAAGGTGTTGGTTGTTCGTGATGCGCGGCAGGTGAATGTTGGTTGCACAGTCAAAAAGATGCGAGTCCTAGATCGGCAAGCCTGCTTGTCCGTAGGGAAAGGAACAAAAGAATGACTTGACGGTGGAGGGATAGAAGGCGGAGCAGCACGGGACGATAAGGTCACAGCTGCAGGGTAAAGAGAGATGATGGTCAAGACGATAGGAAAGCATCTGATGTCAGTTGGGCGTGTGTTGTGTTGCGTTGGACTCACCTCACTGGCCAGCAAGCGGAACTGTGAGAGCACTGTGCTCTGCTGCCTTGAAAGTTTCTCACTTTTCTTCTTGGCTCGTGCCACCAACTCGAAAATTTTTAGGAATTTCTGAAAACTTGGTTTGAGCAGAAAAGGCGGCGCGCAATCCAATTTTAGTCTTGTGGATGTTGGTTCGACCTAACATGTCTGAACAATGTGCTCTCTTGCGGTTCCGAATCGCACCCAGCTCTTTCACCTTTTTCTTTCTTTCTTTTGGTTTCCACCACACTTGTTCTCGTCATCATCAACGCCATTCACCTCGCGGCGACCACACCACACATAATCTCACTAGGCCACTCGACCCGACACTGATCCACACAGCCATAGGGGTGCCGCTACGATGTTCAAACCAACCCAAGTGACATGCTCCAAAGCGAGCCGACTACCGCTCACATCCAAGAAAGCCAATCGCGACTTCTACAAAGGCACACGAACCGGCAACATCATGCGTCGTAAACGTATAGCTACTGCCAACTCACGCGGGACTCAACTCTACGACAAAGACGGAAGAGAACGATACTGGCATCTTAAAACAGCAAGGATCGATGAAGCTAGAATCCCAAACTACGTCGTCCCTCCCGGATTGGCTGAGACCAAGGTAAGCCACCGCAACCTCACCCCACCTTGGTTTTTTCGCGATAAGGATGCTGACAAGCCTAACACGTTTGAATGGGACGTTTGGGATGTGTAGTTGCGACCATATGTGTTTATTGGAGCAAGCAACGAAGGAGGTGGTTCGAGAAAGCGTACATTTGGTTTACCAGAGTATCCGAGAATGGATGCGAACGGGTTCGATGGGACTTACTATAGAAGTGTAATTGGTGATATGTTGCAGAAGAGGAAGATGAAGGAACAGCAGGATGAGGATAGGAGGTTGGCTGCTGCTCCTCGCAGTTAAGCCCTCCAAGTAGCCTTACTGGCGTGTTTGATCCTTCTCGCATGGTGGAGAAGCTAGGCCTGATGCAGAAGGATAGCTTTGCATCTAGCAAGCATTCCTTTCACGATCTCTCATCTGACAAGGTGCTCGGGTCCCCTTCCACTCGTGCACTGCTCTCATAGCCCATCGCTACATCCTCCTTTCCACTCATTGTATTTGTATCTGAATCAAAAAGCAGTTTTCCCTGTTTCATAGACAAAGAAAACAGGATGAAAAAAGACTCAATTTTTTTTTTATACCAAGCCGAAATCAGCCTTGCTATCATTGCAAAAATTGAGGAAAATGTAACAATACAAATGGGAAAGAAAAAGGATCTTAGGCTAGGGCCAAACCGCTAGCAAATGTCGCTCTTCCAGCATTGAGTCCTCTAGAAGAGGTGACTCCCTGGTTAAGTGAGCGAGAAAGCCGGAAACAACTCCATCCAAACTCCATCCGAGAGCAGCAGACCGCTAGTCAAGGAAAGGGAAAAAAGGTTCAGACGGCTAACGGCAGTGTCTCTGATGACATGCATGTGTTCCTTTGGCGGGGATGGCCCCTGCGCTCCCTCGTCGCGATTAGGGACTGGTGTAGGAGCCACCAAAAGGCCTTTGGCTTGGTCGAAGGGAGTATAATGGTGTCAGTTTTGCCCCTGCAAGAAGCGGAGGCTCCCCGACGTCACTCTAAAGTCATGTGTAGCCAAAAACGGGGTCGAATTTGGTCATGTTAGGTGGGTCTTGGATGAGAATGTCAAAATGGGCAGTGTGTAGCAAAAAGTAGGTGTTGGAGCCCCAGATCTGTTGTGTTGGCCTGCGCTGAGTGTTGTTGGGACAATTATATTAGGCCAGAAGGGTTGGTGTGTAAGGGATTTGCAGTGTTGCGGATGGCGGAGCTTGACAGGCATCAAGAACCATCATCTCAAAAGGGTTTAAACACCATTACTCGTCCATTTTCTGATCGATCTTGTTCGAAAATTAAAGAGGGTGTTCCCTCAGAATTCCGCGTTCGTGGTGGCCAAAAAAGGCAAAACTAAAGAAGTGTGACAAGAGTGGGATTCGAACCCACGCCCGAAGATAGCAGGTCTTCCTGAATCAATACAGGATATCTACCTTAATGCTACGCCTTAGACCACTCGGCCATCTTGCCTTCGATTTGGAGCAGACCAAACATACGCATATATGTCAAACACTTTGCTTTGCACTTACCGTTGGGCTCGCCTTCTGACACACACTTCTAAGTCTGAATTGTAACAAGGGTATGCATTAAGCAAGCAATGAGTGCAGAAGAGACGATGCGGTGAAGTTGGAAAGTTGCAGTACTATGCAGCAGCAGCAGTGGGCGCCGAATCTTGGGCCGTTGCTGTGGAGGCACTTGCTTGTAACCTCTCCGCCCGCCGTTCAGCCTGAATAGCATCATCAATCGTAGTTTCCAGCTGAGCCCTACGCATAGCGTTCTTCCTCTCGAAGCCTTGAATCAGTAGCCTGACACTTTCGATAGACGCCAGCAGTATGTTCGGATCCAGTCCTGCCGGCAGACCGTGTTTAGCGCCTGTTCTGCTTTCCCCTTGCCCTGGCATAGCTGTTTTCGACGGCTCTCCTCCTACTTGCTCTGCTATGTCCAACTGATCCTTATCCATCGGACTGGGTTGTGGCGCAAAAGAAGAAACAAACATCTTACTGGGACTAGAAGCAGGCGTTTGCATCCTAGCAATGGTCGGGATCAAGACATCATCGTTATTGATCGCCGCCAGACCTAGTGCTTTTGTTCGACTGGCTGTTGCTGGTGAGAAAGGGTTCCCGGTCGCTTCGCTTCCGAGTACAGGGGTGAATTTGGCTCTGTTACCTGCTCGTGGACTAGCTGCCAACGCTCTCGCGACTGCACTGGGAGTCTCCTTTTCCGCACTTGCCGCCTTTGGTTCCTGCGCTGTAGTCTTGACAGGAGGAGCTAAACCGGAAGAAGCGTGGACAACAGCCTCCCAATCATCAGCACCGTACTGACGAGCAAGGAAATCAGACATGACCTTGATCTTGCGTCTCAACGATTCCACTTCCAAGGTCTTATCCTCATTATCCCTCTGTAAGCCTTTGAGGATCATTTCCTGCGAGAGAAACTCGCGTTCGAGTTTGACAGCTGCAGCGCGTGTGAGCCTGTTGGAAGGTTTCCAACGTTCCTTTTCCGACTGGAGATCGCGTTGGAGGGAACAGACTTGTTTCTCGAGTTCGAGTATGCGTTGGTTTTTGAGTTGCACAGTGTCCATGAGCTCATCGACTTGGGCCCAGGCTGCCTCTTCTCCATTCTCGTCTCCCTGCAGTTGGCCATCGTAACAAGTTTCAACGCGGTTGGTGTGCGTGTCTGCAGCAGGGGGTGGAGTGTAGCTCTGTGTGTGCTGTTCGCCTTGATGCTCGTGGCTATACCCATGATCTCCTTCGGCTTCGTCGTGCTTCTCGGGTGCAGTGTTGCCTAGCAGCGGTAAGCCATTGTCTGGGTTGAGCGGTTGACGTCGTGAGGAAGAGCGTGAGGTTGTTGATGATAAAGCGGATGGCGCAGCGAGATGCGAGCAAGGATCCATCGAGAGAAGTATGGAGCTTCTGCGATGGATTCGTTTGAGCAGTTGCCTGCGTGGTGTTTCTGGTGGTAGTCTTGATGAGTCCATCATGGCTGTGGTGGTGGCTGTGGTGGTGGTCCAAAGTAACACAAACACACGGTAAGTTGTGCTGTGCGGTGCCCAAATCACGTGCGCAGCAATTTAAAAGCCAGGACGCGCGACGCGGAAACAAAGACTGCGCTCTGTAACTTCAAATGTTAAATTAATTACTGCTGCACAAAGGGTTCAATTCTCTCATGGTGTCTTTCGCTTTCTGGCACATTCTCATCTTCCGACCTTTCTTCCACCTTCTCATTCGCTGCCATTCGCCAACCACCAACAGCAAGCGTCTCGTCTCACTTTTGGCCGCTGCGATGCTCATTCCATTAGCATGAACGGTCTCCTAGCTGATCATGACGACTCCATGGCTCATTTCAACGGCAGCGCAGTCCCTAACAAGAGAAAGCATGACGACCTGACACTTGCTAGAGACGACACTCGTTCCGTCGCTAGCGTTTTAGCGGCCTCATCGCCACTCCAACCATCCTCACCCCCTCCCCACGATGACCGATCAGCATCCTCCACCCCAGCACCGCCATACACATCCGAAGCGCAGAGAGTCTACATTGCTCGCACAGCACCCCATCTTCTCGGTCTCGGCCAATCCTCCACCCCATCTGGCTCACCAACTCCATCAGCCCCACCCTCCGGCCATTCCAGTCCATCCTCCGACGACGGCCATTCCACTACCGATGGCCTCAAATCCATCCCCGCTTCCTCCAGCAAATCCCACCATATCGTTCCCAAAAACTTCCCCGGGCCAAAACCGCTCACGAACGACGCAGAAGACTTTGTCCCCATCCCACACCTTGTTCACGTTCCTAACACCAACGCATTGTACAACACAGTCAACTTCGCCTTCAACCGCAACGGATGGCGTTACACCGCCGCCGGTCCCGCAACCCAACACCTACCCCTAACCGTATTCAAAACGCTCGAAACCAGCCCAGCCAACGTCCACTGGTGTTGGTCCGACCGATCTCGATTCACCCACATCAGCGCAGACGCTTCCATCTTGTCGAACGAAAAAGGCTTTCGCAGCTCACGTACCAACATTGGCGTCAGACAAGGAGAGTGGTACGCTGAAATCGAAATCCTCCCGCCTGACCATCTCGAGCCACCACCAAAATCTATGGTACACGGACACCAGATCAGGCTCGGTTGGGGTAGAAGAGAGGCTGGACTCAACGCTCCTGTTGGGTTCGATGGATATGCTTATGGCTATAGAGGTAAGACGGGGGATAAAGTTACGCTTTCGAGACCACAGGCGTATGGGAAGCCGTACAAGGAGGGAGATGTGGTGGGCATGTATATTAAGCTCCCCCCTGAGAGGGAGGCGGTGGATAAGGATGATCCGGCGAATATTAGGAGGGAGAGAATTCCACTGAGATGGAAGGGACAGGTTTATTTTGAAAGTTTAGAGTATCCGAGGACGAGAGAGATGGAGCAGTTGTTTGAGAGGAGCATCAAGGGAACTAGTTTGAACGAGGCGTATAAGGGGGTGGAGGGTACGGGTGTGTTTGAGCCTTATAACCCTGCTGCTAATCAGGGACTGGGTGATGGAGTGGATGGCAACGGGAATGGAGCATCAACTTCTGCTGTTGGTGGAGTTGGAGGAAGCAGTGGCAGTGCAAAGGTGAAAAACAGGAAGAATCCCGGAGCGACAACCAAACCCTCCGGTCCCACCACTCCATCATTGCGACCCATCCCCAAACTCGAAGGCAGTAAAATCGGATTCTTCCTAAATGGCCAACCGCAAGGCATAGCTTTTCGCGATCTATTCGACTATCGTCCACTCCGCGTTCGAGGCTTTACCAATCTCAACCCCACCTACTCCTCTTCTTCTTCCACCCCCAAACCCGCCAGATTCCGCGGCAAGCAACCAGAACCCAAACGCGGCGAAATCTCGGAACCCATCATCAACATCAAACCACGTGAAAACGTCTTTGACGATGGTGCGCTCGGCTATTTCCCCTTTGTCTCCAGCTACGGTGGAGCAAGGGCGAGGTTGATTAGTGGTGAGGAGGGATTCAGGTATCCTCCTCCCGATGATATCGAGGCGGTACTGGAGGCTGCCACGCCCGAATCTACCTACAGCGAACCCGAGGGAGAGGGAGTGGGGGTGGGGGTGAAGGGGAAAAGGTGGAAACCATTATGCGAGAGGTTTGAAGACCACTTGGCAGAGATGTGGAGATACGACCTGGCAGATGAAGCAAAAGCGCAAGCCATCGCGGATCAACAAGCGGAGGAGAAAGAAAAGAAGAGTAACGCGGCAAAGGATAAATATGCTGCGGCGAAGAAGAAACATGCGGCTGCCTTAGCGAGGGATGCGGCTGCCAGTCCGGCACCCCAAATGCATGAGGAGGAGCGAGGGGAGGCGGAGGCGGAGGTGGATAGGACGATTACAAGGGAGGATGCGATCGAGGTCGATCCGACTGCGAATGGGTGGGACAGGCAAGTGAATACGCCAGAGCCGCCGAGTGTGGAGGAGCGGGAGCGGGAGGGGTTGAGATTGCCGTTGCTAGACGGTGCGATGGTCGAGGGGGAGGATGTTGAGATGGATGATTCTGTGCATTAAGCACGCATTTGTTTTCCTCAGTCAACCACAGACGTTAGGAGAAGATAGGCATAGAGAATTGATATTGAGAGCGAAATGACAGCTGTATGACACGAGAAGGGGATAAATTTGTATGTGTATGTTGAGACGAACACAAGTGTTGTCTCTGCGAGCAAGTCCAAGATATGCTTGCAATTCTGTGTTGCATCGAGAGGCAAAGTCTCGATCTGCCCCGTACGCATCCTGACCGGCGCAAATTGACGAGGAAGAGAGGAATCCAGATGCAGCCAAAGAATGGACGAATGAGGAAAACAAGACCAAGACGAAAGCGCTCTCTAGAGGGGTGCGTCGCTAGACGTCAACCTTTCCAAGTCTGCCTCTTGCACCTACTGTGTTTGAGATGGGATAAAGGGAGCTGGGAAAAAACAATTCCGCACGGCTTGGCGTCGTATCCGCCGGAAGAATCCTTACGATCGTTTGGAGCTACCGAATCGATGAATCGTCGCCATCGATCAAAGTATCGTTCCGTATATAAATCAATAAAAACTTGAACAAAACAAAAACCCCATCGCAATTGGGGAGCATGGATGAGGTTTAGATGTTGTCAAAGGCATTGTTAAAGAACGCCTTATGTTGCTTTGTCAATTTTCTTTCGTAGGAGCTTGTCGTCGGTTGGTTTGATGCTGGCGATCCGAACGAGCTCCCTACAAATGACGCATCGTAGAAAAAAAAAAGTGTAGGTGTCAGTCAAACGATCCGACATGAAGTCTCATATGACCGAATGAACAGAAGCCAATCTCTTTTTATATGTGACTAAGGGATAGAAGCCCATAGATCAAGACGGCATCCCTGGGTAAGGAGAGAGGTGATGCGACTATCGACTAACTATTTCTTGTTTACCAAAACGAACAACGAATCCTCCCGCACCCATCATTAGAGAGGTTG